TCGAGTCGGAGTTTTCATGAAAGGACTTGGCTACGGGTCGACCCAGCTTAAATTGGATAAAAGGTTGTGTTATGGGAAGGAAAAGTGGCTGGAATAATGGACCGCATCACCATCGTGTGGCGATAGGTCTGTCGCCATATATACCAGATAGGCTACCTCTAAGGGCTGGGGAAAGAGTCCTCAAGTTTTTTAGCCTTAAGTAGCAGAGAGCAGTATCCTCACCAAAAACTTCCTAAACACCACCTGACGCTGAAAGACAAAACCCAGAAAAGAAGAAGAAGACGCAGTCGTCACTGTTTGTGGTTTTTTTTTTAAATCAATTTTTCTTTTTTTCCTAATTCACTTCCATCATTGATGAATGGTTAGCTTTATCGTAAAGTTTATAAAATATTTAAAAGTAAACACACATTTGGTTTCGTTTATGTTGCACATCGCATGCTTCCGATGTTTTGACATACCTTGTCATTCTGAACTTCTCCGACGGCCGTCATATTGTGGCCATTTCCGTTTCACGAGGCGCCATATTGTCGTTACAGCCTAGACACAGTTTTGAGGTATCTGTTTTTTGTATTCCTTTCTAACAACTTTTGTCCCCGCCCCGAGCCCCACACCTACCCACAAATTCCCGTCATACCTCTTTGTTTGATTTATTTTTGTTTCTTTGGGATACGAAGTATTCTTATGAAAATGTACAAACATTTCACCTGCAAAATCTGAAGTTTTGAACACCCAGTGGGCTTTGTGAAAACATTCACCTGATATCTGGCATCAATGATTCCACTTGTGGAGAATTGGCGTAAACAGACAGACCTAGCGCAGACAGACAGCCGTGGCAGACAACGTAAATAAAGCAGGTCAGTGTCGGATGTTGAGCATTTCCGTTTCCGGTTGTAGAATTCATTCCCCATCTGATGAGATCCGGTGTCACGGAAGATGGCTGCCAGATTGGTGGGTTCTGCGTGTGACCAACAGAAAGTCGGCCCGTTACATGAGAAACTGGCAGTGCCGCTTGTGTTTGGTGGAGTGGACGTTCTGTCCACTCGGTGGCGAACAGTTTTACGTTGAAACAGATCTGGACACCCGGTGGTTAAACAGAAGGTCTACCCACTCAGTCGTGAAGTCATCCTTAAGGTATTGATGCATGTCTGCTGAAGTTACTTTTGTAAACTTACACATACATCGTCTACTACTTTAGGGCGAGTTAAGCATCGGATAATATGGTTTTGTGGACGTTTTTTCTTCTTCCTCTTCTTCGACGTCATCACTGCATTTGCATCTTCTCTCCCCGCCCACTTCTTTGTTTCATCATTATTGTCATCTTCTTCTTCCTCCCCCTCCTCCTCTCTCTTTATTTGTCTTATTAGTTTTACTGCCCCTGTCTCATTCGTCTTCTCTTTGTTCTCCTTTTCCTTTTCCTATACTTTTCCTCCCTTTTCTTCTCCCCTCATTTTCTGAATCTTTGTATTCTTCTTCCTCCTCCGTCTGTTCTTCCCCTTCTTCTATTTCAAAAACCTGTGTGGTTGTAGGTGACGATAGTAAATGGCGGACTAACACTTAGATGACCGTTTAGCTACTACGCGTTCAACAGTCCACGGGAGTTTCCGACTAGGATATCGTAACGGACGTGTGAAGACTCCAGGATTTACGTGCAGTTGACTGGCCTGGTGGGGAATGGGAGACAGGACAAAACAGACAGAGCGAAGGGTTTCAGGGAGTTGGCTCAGAGACCTGGGCTGGGACCTGGTGTTTTTGACGGACGGAGTTGTAGTTGTCTGCGTTCAGACACCTAGCGACGGTTTAGGAAATGTTTAGTGCTTATATGACGGTGTTATAATTAGGGCTGTACCGAATATTCGCTTTGTATTCGCTTCGGTCCCGAATAGTGGACCTGATAATTATTCGGTATTTGGCCGAATACTTGCGGTAGGGCCGAATACGAATAGTGGTTACCTCACACCCGTTTCTGCATACACGACGATAGACTGAAATAACTCTCTCGTTAACACAATAGTTGCTGATGCCTAAGTCTGTTGTAGCGGGGGCAACTGCGACCCGGTTGCGCTGTGAAGCATCCAGTTTTAACATATGGCTTGAGTCCTGGACAATCGGTAGACAGGCCAAACAATTTCTTGAGGCCTCAGAGATGTGGTTTTATAGAAGAATGCTTAGAATACCTTGGACAAACAAAAAGAGCCACCAAGAGGTTTTGAAAGAGGCGGGAACCCGAAGACAACTAATCACAGTCATCAGAAGGAGACCGTCACTTTTTTTCCAGCCATGTTATGAGAAGAGGGGAAATGGAACATGTGGTGACCACTGGAAAGATCTATGGAAGGAGGGATAGAGGAAGACAACTAGAGATAAGTCTCGACAGTATTGTTGCATGGCATGGAGGTGTGTCAGCACACAAACGCAGATTGTGGCAAGGCCCACGCCAGTCGACAAGGCCCCTGATGATGATGATACACTATTCGTATTCGGCCGAATAGTTGGTCCCGCTATTCGTGTTCGGCCCTAGTTATAATTTAAAATTAGGAAGATACAGCTTAACTTGGTGTTCTGCAGAGATGGTTCAGAGCTGGGGGCGAACTGTCCAGTGCTTGTTGTCATTACATTAAATGGTGATTGGTGTGTATGCTGCAACGGTGTTGGCTTTGTGGTGTCTCTGTCATGGAGCTGCGAACAAGTCGTCGCCTTCAAGCCAGTAGCCAGCTCTCTGACATTCTTCTTGCTGTTCTCTTCAATCATGCGCCACCGATCTGATCATATGTGAAATCAGCGGGAACTTGAGAGCTCACGTCTGTAATCCAAGTCTGAGTTTGATTGTTACATCGAAGAGTCTGCATACCCAGTGGAAAATACTCTGTCTATCTATCTATCTATCTATCTATCTATCTATCTATCTATCTATCTATCTATCTATCTATCTATCTATCTATCTATCTATCTATCTATCTATCTATCTGTCTGTCTGTCTGTCTGTCTGTCTGTCTGTCTGTCTGTCTGTCTGTCTGTCTGTCTGTCTGTCTGTCTGTCTGTCTGTCTGTCTGTCTGTCTGTCTGTCTGTCTGTCTGTCTGTCTGTCTGTCTGTCTGTCTGTCTGTCTGTCTGTCTGTCTGTCTGTCTTTGATGATGTTTATATTATGCAACCTGTAAGACTTACATCATTTTTTGAATAGGCTTATTATTATACTCTTTCAAACGTTCAAGTAATGTCAGTATTTAGACTTAGATATTATAATTTTTTTTCTTCATCTCTTTTTTCTTCTTTTGTTTCTTTTCTATATTTATCAAATTTTTAATTGTGCATTCCTCTTTTTATTATTATTATTAATTATTATTATAATAATTAACCATGAAATGAGGTAAAAATGAAACATTGTATGAAAGGAGCGGAGTGGAAGGGCAGAATGTTAGACGGGCCTGCGTGCCCAATTCTTAACCCTTTGAAAATAAAGTTTGTTTGTTCGTTCTATCTATCTATCTATCTATCTATCTATCTATCTATCTATCTATCTATCTATCTGTCTGTCTGTCTGTCTGTCTGTCTGTCTGTCTGTCTGTCTGTCTGTCTGTCTGTCTGTCTGTCTGTCTTGTCTAGTCTAGTCTAGTCTAGTCTAGTCTAGTCTCTCTCTCTCTCTCTCTCTCTCTCTCTCTCTCTCTCTCTCTCTCTCTCTCTCTCTCTCTCTCTCTCTATCTCTCTCTCTCTCTCTCTCTCTCTCTCTCTCTCGATAACCGTAGGAGCAGATGTTCCGGCCCTTTGTTCCCCAGTTCCCCGCCCTCTGCGTACTCCACATCTGCACTCTGTGTATGCAGGTGTCATAACTCCTTTTCATACAGCTATTTCCCCCGTTGGCCTTTCTGCCGCGAAAGGTCAAGTGCGGTGACAAAAAGGAGTGCCTAAGAAAAGAGCGGGCTTCAGATAATTGAAACATTTGTTCCGTGTGCCAACAGAACCTTGTGTTTATAGATTTCTGTTTTTACGTTCTTACGGTGCCTTTTCTCTATCATGTTTACATTGTATCTCCCATTAATAAAAAAAATATTCTGTGTTTTAAAATCATCCTAGAGGTAACTTGTCGGTGCCAATCATGGACAGTTTAGCAGAAAGTCTATTACGTGTTAGTTTTGATCAGACACACTGGCACTGTGCCACATGTCACTTTGTCACGGTTTGTGGTGATTCCGTGGTGATCAGACACACTGGCACTGGGCCACATGTCACTTTGTCACCGGTTTGTGGTGATCCGACACACTGGCAATGGGCCACATGTCACTTTGTCTCCGGTTTGTGGTGATTCCGTGGTGATCAGACACACTGGCACTGGGCCACATGTCACTTTGTCACCGGTTTGTGGTGATCAGACACACTGGCAATGTGCCACATGTCACTTTGTCACCTGTTTGTGGTGATCCGACACACTGGCAATGGGCCACGTGTCACTTTGTCACCGGTTTGTGGTGATCAGACACACTGGCACTGGGCCACATGTCACTTTGTCACCTGTTTGTGGTGATCCGACACACTGGCAATGGGCCACGTGTCACTTTGTCACCGGTTTGTTGTGATCCCATGCGAGGTAAGACAGTTGGCAGGTAACCGAGATTCTTGTCCATGGGCTGCGATGGTAGCATCATTCTTTAAGAGTTTCTTAGCTTAGAATATAAACCCAGTTGATTGCATGTCATTGTAATGTGTGTGTGTATATATATATGCTAGCCTGCGAATCAGAAGGTCGTAGGTTCAATTCCTAACGAAGCCAGACTTTTTTTCAAACAATACCTTGACTACGATGTGGACTTTATATGTGGATATTTGTTTGACTTTATCTGTGGATATTTGTTTGACTTTATATGTGGATATTTGTTTGACTTTATCTGTGGATATTTGTTTGACTTTATATGTGGATATTTGTTTGACTTTATCTGTGGATATTTGTTTGACTTTATATGTGGATTTTTGTTTGACTCTCAGCGATGACGTAATGGGAGGCTGCAGAAATGAGGTTTAACCGAGCGGTCAAGTTGGTGGCACTGGTGGCCATCTTGTCCTGTATGGTGACCATCTGTCTGTGGTCAACGTGTGGCACCCGGCCTTACAGTGTGGGGTAGGCTGTTGTTTTCTTTGTTTGTGTGTTTCTGTCTGCCTATATGTCTGATCCGCTTGTGGCACCCAGCCTTACAGTGTGGGGTAGGCTGTTGTTTTCTTTGTTTGTGTGTTTCTGTCTGCCTATATGTCTGATCCGCTTGTGGCACCCAGCCTTACAGTGTGGGGTAGGCTGTTGTTTTCTTTGTTTGTGTGTTTCTGTCTGCCTATATGTCTGATCCGCTTGTGGCACCCAGCCTTACAGTGTGGGGTAGGCTGTTGTTTTCTTTGTTTGTGTGTTTCTGTCTGCCTATATGTCTGATCTACTTGTGGCACCCGGCCTTACAGTGTGGGGTAGGCTGTTGTTTTCTCTGTATGTGTGTGTGTTTTTGTCTGCCTATGTGTCTGATCTACTTGTGGCACCCGGCCTTACAGTGTGGGGTAGGCTGTTGTTGTCTGTGTGTGTTTCTGTCTACATCTGGTCATTGTGTGGCACCAGGCCTTACAGTGTGGGGTAGGCTGTTGTTGTCTGTGTGTGTTTCTGTCTACATCTGGTCATTGTGTGGCACCAGGCCTTGCAGTGTGGGGTAGGCTGTTGTTGTCTGTGTGTGTTTCTGTCTACATCTGGTCATTGTGTGGCACCAGGCCTTACAGTGTGGGGTAGGCTGTTGTTGTCTGTGTGTGTTTCTGTCTACATATCTGGTCAATGTGTGGCACCAGGCCTTACAGTGTGGGGTAGGCTGTTGTTTTCTCTGTGTGAGCATTTCTCTGTTTGTCTGTCTCTCTCTCTCTGCACGCCTGTAAGTGTCTTGTCTGTCTGTCTATCTGTCTGCACGCCTGTAAAAGTCTTGTCTGTATGAGTGTGTATGTATCTCTTTCTACGTGAATGTTTGCTAAATTATCATCTTGTACCTATCAAATGTTTTTATTTAATTATCTTTTCTCTTCTTATCCATCGATCTATCCATCCACCGGTCTGTCCAACAGTCCAACCTACCTACCAATTTATCTGTATGCCTGTGTGTAGCCTGCGTTGATATGATCCTATCTAATTATATTAATCCCAGTCATCTCCTGTGAGATGCAATTTTTTTTAATTTGAAGCCCTACTCTGGCTCTTGCCAGGGGCCGCAATATAGCCTGACCATAAATATGGTCTAATGGCTAAGCGCGGTTTCTGTGACCTCTCCACGGTGATCCTCATCCACGTGGTGGCACTTTGTGTCATCGGGTGTTTATCGCTTGTGTGATGTCCTGGTGGGATAAAAATCTGCTCTGCTACTACTACTAATCTGATTATAAATATGAATTGAAGAGAAACAAGAACAACAACTCATGATTAACCAAGATGTTGATTGCCTTCCCTTGAGCAGGGCGGAAGAGAACCAGGCCAATTTTGTGCTGACCGAGTATCACAAGAGAGGCACCAACTCCATCTCCAGCAGTGACCAGGGGCAGGCCGAGCCCCGCCGTGTGGAGGAGTACCATCAGATCGACTGCAACATCAACAGTGAGACCACTATCAAGTGCCGCAGAGAGGGACCCGAGGTCTATATACCGTTCTCCTTCATCAAGAAATATTTTGAGGTAAGGGTGATTTGTTGTAACTGCTGCTCCCATCAAGGATGAAATGCAAGTTCAGTGTTGGTCTGTTTGTGTTGGCACTTCTGATGGCTGTATTATGCATTTAATACCTGTGTGTGTCCTATTTGTTTCACAAGAGACAGAGATGGGCATTTTTCTGTGGTTTTCACCTGCACAGAAATGGAGCGGTTTTTAGGCGACCAGTTTGCCATGAAGCTGAAACTGAGTTTTCTTCTTGTTGGGATTGCATCGTTGGTGGTTACACCGTCTGCTCAGGTTATAACCATCTGCACTTATGATGACCAACAAAATTGTTAGTAAATAAAGAAAGATGTGATGAGAAGGAGAAAACTGGAGTGCATCATAACAGTAGGAAAGTTGAAGGGGAGGAGAGGCAGAGGGAGGCCAAGAGAGATGATGCTGGACAGTTTGATATCATTCAGTGGGCGATCTTCTGTGTTGGAGTTGATTGAAAGTACATGAACCAGAAGGTTGCGGATAGACATGACTACCAACGCTACACATCAAGGACTTTGATTTTTAAAAAAAAAAAGAAAGATAAAACTGCATTGGTACGGTCAAAAAGTTCTCAGAACTAATGTCTTGAGTATACGTAGATGCCTATGTACAATAATTAAACATACATAGAATGAATGTGTGGGCTTTACGTACCATGTTTATCAGCTGTTTCAATCAAATTTGTGTTGAAAAATTTAAAATGGACATATGACCAGTTTGAGTGAAACTGGGTCGTAAGTTGAGGAGATTGGTAAATCACAAGTTAAGTTGCACTGAATATATTCGCTTTCTATTGGTCCAGCAGAAGTTTTGTTGACCAGTCAATATTGTTTAGCTCATTATCAGGCAGATGATCCCGCAGAACTGTTTCTGCGGTTTATTTGCTAAGTCCATTGCATCCATAGTGGTGAAGCTGACGGATGCGGATAGTTGTGTGTGTGTGGAGGTCAGTTCTGTTGATCATCCCCTCCTGCACAAGAGCATTTCCTGTGTAGGTTTAGAGCCTCAATTAGAAGGGGGGGGGGGGGGGGTTAAACCCATTGCTCCCTTAACAATTATGTCATAAAATGTTTGCTAATTAGGGCTGTTTAATACGAAGTCAGAGCACAACTGCCTGAGAGACGAGGAACCTAGTCTGCTTACGAATAAATCAGATCTGTAAAACGGATGTGCATGCAAAACTCTGGATCTAAAACAACCAGAACTTTCCAATGGAATTTATAGTTAGTGAAGTCTTAAGAGGAAGAAATAAGTATGTGTTTGATGGCTGTCATGGGTTCGATTCTTCAGGGTCTGAATCCACTTGTCCCCCGTGTGGGTTCAATTCTCCGGTGTCTGAATCCACTTGTCCCCCGTGTGGGTTCAATTCTCCGGTGTCTGAATCCACTTGTCCCCCATGTGGGTTCAATTCTCCGGTGTCTGAATCCACTTGTCCCCCGTGTGGGTTCAATTCTCCGGTGTCTGAATCGACTTGTCCCCCGTGTGGGTTCAATTCTCTGGTGTCTGAATCCACTTGTTCCCCACGTGGATTCCGGTGCTCTCTTATAGGGAAAACAAGAATATACCCGCTGCCTACCCTAGAGCATGTGGTTAAAGTCGACCAATTAGAAGCTTCCTTCAAATCAAAGTGCATCTGCCTGAGAGACAATGAACCAACAGTCTGCACACAGATGTGTCAGATCTGTCAAACAGATGCCCATGCAACACTCAGGTTCTGGAACAGGACTGCAGTCCAGAAGTGGACGAACAACCAGAACTTTCCACCAGAGTTTACAGCTGGTGACCGCAAAGAAGAAGAAGAATCAACTTGTGGAAAATTTTCTTCTGCACGGGAAGACATTAACAGAGGATTTTCTGTGTTCCCCCGTGTGGGTTCCGGGGCCCTATTGTGGGGAAAACAAGAATAGACCCACTGCCTCCCCAAAAGCATGTTGTAAGAGTCAACTACCTGGGGAGCTTCCTTTGAAGTCGGAGTGCATCTGCCGGAGAGGCAAGGAACCAGCAGTCTACGTTCAATTGAATCAGATCTGTAAAACTGATGCACACGCAACACTCAGGTTCTGGAGCAGGACTGCAGTCCAGAAGTGGACGAACAACCAGAACTTTACGCCAGAGTGTACAGCTGGTGAACGCGAAGAAGAGGAAGAAGATTTCTGTGTTTACTTGGCAGGTCTCTTGAATCATGCATCGGGTACCTTACCTTTCCTACCTCTTTTATTTTCATGGCAAATGGGCCTCATATGGTCTGGTGGTGTGTATATTTACAGGTGCCTCACCTGGCCATGCTTATTTGACAGGTGTATCAACTAAGTGCTCAGTCTGGTCATGCAGTGTATTTCCAGATGAATCAATTGTTACCTGGATGTTTTGTTGGCTTGCTGCCAGACTCCTAAGTGCAGTTGTGGGATTTTCCCCTAAGTGTAGTTTGGAGAATTTCAGAGTTTCTACTCAAAAAATAACTCAAACTGAAATATTATTTGTTATGCAACAACACAGTTTTTATTTGCCACTCGATATTCAAACACGATTTTCTCAAAACAAATATTTAGCATTGAGAGACTTTGGCATAGTGCCCACTGTATGTTTATGTTTACTGGTTGTAACTGACTGGATATCTGGTTATGTGTATATGTATGTTTACTGGTTCTAAATGACTGGTTATCTGGTTATATGTATATTGACTTATGTGTTGGTCTTTCAGGTATATGGTGAAGTAGAAGAAACAGATGAGTATGAAAGGCTAGAATTCCATCACTCGAACTCAATTGTGCACCCACCCCGAGCCACCTACAGCCCCGACTCTATGTTCATGGCCTTTGACCATTACAATGTTGAAGGCAGAGACCGAGTCAAATGTGTTACTGCATCTGAAGGTTTGTTACTACCTTTATTTCAATGTGGAAGTACCTTTATATCAGTGTGGCATTACCTTTATATCAGTGTGGCATTACCTTTATATCAGTGTGGCATTACTTTTATATCAGTGTGGCATTACTTTTATATCAGTGTGGCATTACCTTTATATCAGGGTGACAGGTGTGGCATTGACTTTTATGTCAGTGTCAGGTGTGGCATTACCTTTATATCAGTGTGTCAGGTGTGGCATTACTTTTATGTTAGGTGTGGCATTACCTTTATATCAGTGTGTCAGGTGTAGCATTGCCTTTATATAAGTTTGACAGGTGTGGCATTACTTTTATATCAGTGTGACAGGTGTGGCATTACCTTTATATCAGTGTGACCGGTGTGGCATTACCTTTATATCAGTGTGCCAGGTGTGGCATTACCTTTATATCAGTGTCACAGGTGTGACATTACCTTTATAGCAGTGCGACAGGTGTGGCATTACCTTTATAGCAGTGTGGCATTACCTTTATCAGTGTCACAGGTGTGGCATTACCTTTATAGCAGTGTGTCAGGTGTAGCATTACCTTTATAGCAGTGTTTCAGGTGTAGCATTACCTTTATAGCAGTGTGACAGGTGTAGCATTACCTTTATAGCAGTGTGACAGGTGTAGCATTACCTTTATAGCAGTGTGGGAGTATCTTTGTGTCAGGTGTAGCATTACCTTTATAGCAGTGTGTCAGGTGTAGCATTACCTTTATAGCAGTGTGTCAGGTGTAGCATTACCTTTATACCAGTGTGACAGGTGTAGCTTTACCTTTATAGCAGTGTGTCAGGTGTAGCATTACCTTTATAGCAGTGTGACAGGTGTAGCATTTCCTTTAAAGCAGTGTGACAGGTGTAGCATTACCTTTATAGCAGTGTGTCAGGTGTAGCATTACCTTTATAGCAGTGTGGCATTGCTTCCACATCAGTGTGGTGGGTGTGGCATTACCTTTATAGCAGTGTGACAGGTGTAGCATTACCTTTATAGCAGTGTGGGAGTATCTTTGTGTCAGGTGTAGCATTACCTTTATAGCAGTGTGTCAGGTGTAGCATTACCTTTATAGCAGTGTGTCAGGTGTAGCATTACCTTTATACCAGTGTGACAGGTGTAGCTTTACCTTTATAGCAGTGTGTCAGGTGTAGCATTACCTTTATAGCAGTGTGACAGGTGTAGCATTTCCTTTAAAGCAGTGTGACAGGTGTAGCATTACCTTTATAGCAGTGTGTCAGGTGTAGCATTACCTTTATAGCAGTGTGGCATTGCTTCCACATCAGTGTGGTGGGTGTGGCATTACCTTTTGTGCAGTGTATCTGGTGTGGGATTGCTATGATAACAGTTTCTGGTGTGGGATTGCAATGATAATATTATCTGGTGTGGGATTGCTATGATAACAGTACCTGGTGTGGGATTGCTATGATAATATTATCTGGTGTGGGATTGCTATGATAACAGTACCTGGTGTGGGATTGCTATGATAACAGTACCTGGTGTGGGATTGCTATGATAACAGTACCTGGTGTAAAAAAACCTGATAGCAGCTTGTTATTTGCGATTACCTCATTGTCAGCATCTGATTTAGTTTTTTTGAAGCTGTTACTTGTCCAGCCATTGACAATTTGTGTGCTTCTCTCTCTCTCTCTCTCTCTCAGGTGTGCCAATCACGGTTCAGTGGAGCAAAGATGGATACCACTACCCAATACAGGTGGCCCAGTACGGGTTGAGCCACCATGCCAAGCACATCGTCAGCGGCGACCCAGATCAGCTGGTCTTGGAAGATGGGGAGGAGGACAGTCTCGACGGTTGGGTCATGCCAGATAAAAAGTCTCAGGTGAAAATTACAGCAGGTGATAAAAATCACAACCGTGTGATGGAGTTTCTGACCTCAGGTAACAGAGCTAGCTAACAAATTATGACTGCTTCTTTCTGTCAGTTTTTTATGTGTTCATTAGATGTTTCCAAAACATTTAGATTAGAAAATCAGTCACACCTTCTACATTGCCATACCCACAAACTTCTACATTGTTATACCCACAAACTTCTACATTGTTATACCCACAAACTTCTACATTGTTATACCCATAAACTTCTACATTGTTATACCCACAAACTTCTACATAGTTATACCTACAAACTTCTACATTGTTATACCCACAAACTTCTACATTGTTATACCCACAAACTTCTACATTGTTATACCCACAAACTTCTACATTGTTATACCCACAAACTTCTACATTGTTATACCCACAAACTTCTACATAGTTATACCCACAAACTTCTACATTGCCATACCCACAAACTTCTACATAGGTATACCCACAAACTTCTACATTGTTATACCCACAAACTTCTACATTGCCATACCCACAAACTTCTACATTGCCATACCCACAAACTTCTACATTGTTATACCCACAAACTTCTACATTGTTATACACACAAACTTCTACATTGTTATACCCACAAACTTCTACATTGTTATACCCACAAACTTCTACATTGTTATACCCACAAACTTCTACATTGTTATACCCACAAACTTCTACATTGTTATACCCACAAACTTCTACATTGTTATACCCACAAACTTCTACATTGTTATACCCACAAACTTCTACATTGTTATACCCACAAACTTCTACATTGTTATACCCACAAACTTCTACATTGTTATACCCACAAACCTCTACATTGTTATACCCACAAACTTCTGCATTGTTATACACACAAACTTCTACATTGTTATAACCACGAACTTCTACATTGCCATACCCACAAACTTCTACATTGTTATACCCACAAACTTCTACATTGTTATACCCACAAACTTCTACATTGTTATACCCACAAACTTCTACATTGTTATATCCACAAACTTCTACATAGTTATATCCACAAACTTCTACATAGTTATACCCACAAACTTCTACATAGTTATATCCACAAACTTCTACATTGTTATACCCACAAACTTCTACATTGTTATACCCACAAACCTCTACATTGTTATACCCACAAACCTCTACATTGTTATACCCACAAACTTCTACATTGTTATACCCACAAACTTCTACATTGTTATACACACAAACTTCTATATTGTTATACCCACAAACTTCTACATTGTTATACCCACAAACTTCTACATTGTTATACCCACAAACTTCTACATTGTTATACCCACAAACTTCTACATTGTTATAACCACAAACTTCTACATTGTTATACACACAAACTTCTACCTTGCCATACCCACAAACTTCTACATTGTTATATCCACAAACTTCTACATTGTTATATCCACAAACTTCTACCTTGCCATACCCACAAACTTCTACATTGTTATATCCACAAACTTCTACATAGTTATACCCACAAATTTCTACCTTGCCATACCCACAAACTTCTACATTGCCCTACCCACAAACTTCTACCTTGCCATATCCACAAACTTCTACATTGTTATCCACACAAACTTCTACATTGATATATCCACAAACTTCTACATTGTTATACCCACAAACTTCTACATTGATATACCCGTTGTCATCAGGTTTAAAACTCATTAGCGTTCCAGGGTCCCATTTTGGGAGGGGGAAATAAGAAAAGGCCTACGCCCCCCCCCCCCCCCCCATCACACATGCCATAAATGGTGACAAATTAGAAGTGTTTCCTTCGAAGCTGGACAGGATTTGCCTGAGAGACGAGAAGTCAGCAGTCTGCATACAAATACAGTAAGCCAGATCTTAAATTTATCTGCATAAAAAAACTCAGGTTTTGGAACAAGACTAAAATACAGAAGTGGATGAACAACCAGAACTTTAACAGCTGGTGAATGCTAAGAATAATAAGAAGAGACAGCTTTATGTTAAAAGTGTTTAATGTATAACATGCAAACAGTCTTGATCTAACCTTCAGTGACTGACGTTTATTGCGTCAATTCCAATCCATATTATTATTGCTTAGAAACGGCCACTGTTATTTGGTTGCAAATTAAATTGTATTTTATTCTTATCCTTCATTTGTATTCTTGTTTACTAAAACAGTTTTGAAATCCATATTTTTACAAATCTGTTCCTTGTTTAGATTCTCTGCTGACAAAAGGCATCACGATTGCTGCAGACGAAAAAGGTTACAAGACTTTTCTCTTGGATGTCAGGTTTGTCACCAACGGAAGCATCACTGTCGTCCTGGAGACGGGAGCTGGTGACATCAAGATTCATTATGTGTTTAGCAGTGTGGATATTTACTTTGACGGAAAGTCAAACATTTATTACGGCATGGGTGAGCGAAGAAGTGAGTGGATCCACTTGGCTAGAGATCTGAAATGTGACCTTCTGAAAGGTCTGCTGATCAAGCTGAAGATGGAAACTATTAAAAAATCCTACGGGTTGAACCGGGTTGTGGAGATTCGGTTGCATGGTCACGGTTGGGTGGATAACCTGACCATGTCACAATCTGTGCACATGGACCAGTTCTACGATGCTGCCAACTGGTTGGTGCGACACCAGGATGAGCGGGGCGGTTGGCCAATCATGGTTGCTCGTCACCTGGTTGTCGGTGTTATGGAGCTGCCGCCTGGTTGGTATTCTGCAATGGGTCAAGGCCAGGCCATGTCTGTTCTCGTCCGTGCTTACCTACATTCTAAACAAGACAAATATTTGCAGGCAGCCATAAACGCGCTGAGACTCTTCGAAGTCGACAGCTCCCAAGGTGGTGTTCGGGCCAGATTTTTAGGGAAATTAGACTGGTATGAAGAATACCCTACAACGCCAAGTTCGTTTGTTCTCAACGGTTTCATCTACTCTCTCCTGGGATTGTACGACCTTAAACTGACAGCCAAAGGTGAAGGTCAGGCCCAAGCGGAGAGAATTTACAACTCGGGAATGAAGTCTTTAAAAACAATAATAGGTTTATACGATTCAGGAGCCGGGACATTTTATGATTTGCGACACGTGACGACGACGCTGGAGCCCAACCGCGCCCGATGGGATTATCATACGACACATATAAATCAGCTGCTTCAGCTAATGATCATTGACGACGACGAGATTTTCAAAACTACGTGCCAGCGTTGGCTGGGCTATCTGAAGGGCAAGAGGTCAAGACACAACTGAAGCCAGAGCTTTTGGTGGTTGAATTTTATGATTGGATCTGTCACATGGTGGGGTGAATTTGGTCAATCTCCTGGGGTGAATTTGGTCAATCTCCTGAGGTGAATTTGGACATCACCTAGAGTAAATTTGGTCAGTCTCTTGGGGTGAGTTTGATCATCTTCTGCTGTGAATTTGTTGAACACTTATGGTGGTTAATTTGGTCACCTTATTTATGACATTTTTATTTTGTTTAGTTAAAAATGACCTTACTTGGTGCTTTAATCACCAGGTTACAATTCAGCCACCTGCTGTTTGGTCGTGTTTGATTACTTCAGCCACGTCACAGAGTTAATTTATATCATCTGGTGCCCTCATTTTTTTTTTAAATTAGTGATTGGGTGGCATGAGCTGACCGCCTCAGCTGGGTGGCATGAGTTGACCGCCTCAGCTGGGTGGCATGAGTTGACCGCCTCAGCTGGGTGGCATGAGTTGACCGCCTCAGCTGGGTGGCATGATTTGACAGCCTCAGCTGGGTGGCATGAGTTGACAGCCTCAGCTGGGTGGCATGAGTTGACCGCCTCAGCATGGGGCATTTGGCTTTCCAGCCGATATGAAACGATTGGTCAGTGGGGAAGAAGGAACATATGTGGCACTAAGGCTTTCATAGAGACCTGTGGCCTTGTCCTCTGGAATGCACTGGCAGAGGGAAAAAAAAAGATGAAGAAGTACTTATACTGTCCATTCATAGACTGCATGACTGGGACAGTTGTGTACTGTCTCCATGTACTTGAAGGAAAGTACCTTAAACACAGAAGTGATGTCATTGAAAGAGGACATGTGGACTAAGAGTACACCTCACAGATTAGAACAATTTTAGCCATCTGATGGTCGATAGGGGTCCACAGAACAAATGTATGGGATCCGTGACATCATTTTGTTTATCCTCATCTTTACAATGCAATCCGTTTTTGCGATTCTAGTATTTATAAATTATACATTCTTGAGGATGGTAGACCTTTGTAAATACTAGGAGTGTCACAGGTTGAGCCGACTGGCAGCTGCTAGTCTTGAAGCAGTGGTACTCCAAATCCAAGAGCACATCCTACAGAACTGGCTAGAATTGGCCAGAGAATGCAAATTTGGCCACATGGAGCACCCTGCCAGCCAAAGTGTGCAGGTGAAGGAGGTTGGAATCCTCAGCATTTTTCTGTTCAAAACTCGTGCAGAAATTGCATAACTCATGCAGGAATTGCATAACTCTTGCTAGAATTGCATAACTCTTGCTGGAATTGCATAAATCATGCCAGAATTGCATAACTCTTGCTAGAATTGCATAACTCTTACTGGAATTGCATAACTCTTGCTAGAATTGCATAACTCATGCCAGAATTGCATAACTCTTGCTAGAATTGCATAACTCTTGCTGGAATTGCATAACTCCTGTTGGATTAATTAGATTTAAAAAATTGATCGCTGAGAAAGAAAAGGAAGAAGACGTGAAAGATAACTATGACCAGTAGGTTAAGGAGCTGTAGTAGAGCAGTGGCTGGGTGCTAGTCTGAAGGTCTTGGGTTTCACAGCAAAGCAGTTTTTAAAAAAAACAAATACCCTTAGCTGCCATGTTGACCCAGGGTATGATGGGTACTGGGAAATATCCTAGGGAGTGACGACGACCGGCGTGATATTGTTTACACCACTCACTGAGTGCTGAGACATCGAGTGAATGCTGAGACATCGAGTGAATGCTGAGACATCGAGTGAATGCTGAGACATCGAGTGAATGCTGAGACATAGAGTGAACGCTGAGACATCGAGTGAATGCTGAGACATCGAGTGAGTGCTGGGACATCGAGTGAATGCTGAGACATCGAGTGAATGCTGAGACATCGAGTGAATGCTGAGACATCGAGTGAATGCTGAGACATTGAGTGAGTGCTGAGACATCGAGTGAATGCTGAGACATCGAGTGAGTGCTGTGACATCGAGTCAGTGCTGAGACATCGAGTGAATGCTGAGTCATCGAGTGAATGCTGAGACATGAGTGAGTGCTGAGACATCGAGTGAGTGCTGAGACATCGAGTGAGTGCTGAGACATCGAGTGAATGCTGAGACATCGAGTGAATGCTGAGACATCGAGTGAATGCTGAGACATAATTGAGTGAATGCTGAGACATCGAGTGAATGCTGAGACATCGAGTGAATGCTGAGACATCGAGTGAATGCTGAGACATCAAGTGAATACCGAGACATCAAGTGAATACCGCGACATCGAGTCTTACTGGCAAGTGATACCTCAAGGTCTTGGCCAGGAAAGTTGGGAGCTGGAGACTCATCAGTTTGCAGCCTGTATACAAGGGCACCATCTGGCAGGTCAAATAAAGTTGTTTTGGTTAGGGACAGCTCTTGGAGTGGGACAGATTCAGCACGTCCCCAACTGGGACAAATTTAACATGTCCCATCTGTGAGTAGCACATGCAAGGTCCGACAATTAAGTAATGAGACTAATTCCATAAAAATTAAAGTAATCAACAGTTGAAGATATAACCTGTATTTTATTCAAAGTAAACCTCTTGTGCATTGATACAGCAAGTGGCGCGATCTAACAAACAGTGGAATGACCACTGTAGTTCTTCTATTGTTTTGGCCCTTAAAGTCGATGTTACAGGGCAAATTTAATTTTGGGAATAGAACACAGGTAGACAGTTCTGAGGAATAGGGTGGATGGTTGAGAACATACATCTGTTTTAGGGCCAAAGATTTGTGTACAACTACCTCACTTTGAGCTGGTGCATTGTCATGAAGAAGGAAGAAAATTGCCAGGTGTTGAATACAAACAGACAAACAACTGTTTTCTTGCCCAAATCCTCCTCTCAAATTTTACGAATAGTCTCTGTGTTAACACCAAATTCATCTACCATCATCCTCGCAGTCGAACAACGATGTTTTTGTATCCGTTCTTAGAATTTTGCAATGAGTTCCCCATTACAAACAGAAATTGGGTGTCCAGGTTTAGTTGCATTTGTCATCATTTCCACACCACTTGTGAATCATGAATACCAGCGGAAAATCTGTGAACTAGATTAACAGTTATCCCCATAAACTTGTCGCATCAATTCAACTGTCACAATGGCGCTTTTTCTGAGTTTTAAACAGAATTAGATGTTAGCTTTATGGCTCCATGCTGATTATGTAACAATGCACCTCTGACTAAGTTAACAAAATGAGTGCTTGTTTGTTGTCTGCTTATCGGGCAGATCATAGACGAAGGTTGTCTCTTTGGATTCCATGCTTTGATTAATAATAGATGGCATTTTTGTCTTGGCCATAATAAAATCAGTCTCATTTCTTAATTGTTAGACCTTGTATATACCATGTCTTTGTGTGGGACAGACATAGGTTCCATCTTTGAGTGGGACTGATATAAAATGTTGAGTCTTTGAGTGGGACTGATATAAAATGTTGAGTCTTTAAGTGGGACTGATATAAAATGTTGAGTTTTTGAGTGGGACAAATATAAATTGCTGCTGTCATACAATGTTATGTTTGTTAGTTAAAATTGTTGAAATGAAAGCTTATGGATTATAGATGTAACCGTCAGGAATGTTTGAGAGTTAAAATAAAGGAGAGCAGTTCATAGATGAAAAGACAGGCCAAGGAAGAGTTGCATGGGTTAAAAAAAAAATATTTATGTATTTATATTTTTGGAGGAAAAGCAAGACAGATGTACAATCAGACTGCTATTGATTTGATTGAGTTCTGCACTTGCTGCTAAAGATTGGGACGGGGCACTTTTTCCTGTGTGACATGGTGTTGGTTTTTTGCTTTAAAAAAAATCAATTGAACACAGTCGATCAGAAGCTGGAGTCAGCCATTCAACATCAGGCACAGTTCATCCTGGGAGTATACAAATTTGTCAAATGCCGGTGGTGAAACAAATGTTGCGGCAGCATCAATTATCTGACATAGGCATCCTAATTCTAGCCTTCTGCAGACCATGCCAGAGAAAATCAATAGAGATACCACAGCGCTGCCAACAGATCAGCAATTATCAGTGCTCCCAACAAAACAGCAGTTATGAGACATAGAGATACCTCAGTGCTCCCAACAAAACAGCAATTATCAGATATAGAGATACCTCAGTGCTCCCAACACAGCGTAAATTACAGCACCTCAGCACTTCCCAACACAATAGCAGTTACAAACATAGGGGTATCTTAGTGCTGTAAACACAACAGCAAATATAAGACAGAGAAAGATAGAAGAGGGTGTGTCACAGCCAACTCAATCATTTCACTTTAAAATGTTTTGCTACAATTAAATTCTGGGTACATATCAAATGAGCTGCTGTGTAATAAATCACTATAATAACTCACAGGGACAACAGGAGTTAACCATACGATGAAATACTTGTAGATGAGTTCAAGCATAAAGTCAACCCATGTATAGTATAATTTGTAAATTGTTCACTGTCTGTCCTTCTGGGTTCTGTCAATCCTGGAGGTTATCATAATGGCTGTGTGGGTTTGTATGTGTCTGCATGTACATATATCAAATATTTTATTGTCACTGTTGTGTTAAGTCAACCCTGTATATGGTAATATTTGTTTTTAATTGTATTTTCCTATGTAACCATTTAATGCCATTACAAATATTGTATGACAGTTTTCTAAATTCCTTGAATACACTGTGTTGCTAAAATATGGGAAATTGTAGATGCCATTTTAAAAAAAAATGGGCTTCAGATGGTTCAAAATTATTAACAAAATGTGACACAGTTTCGACGTTTAAAATGTATAAAGTAAGGAACACTTTTACACACCTTTAGGCATATAGGGCTAGACCTAAATGTTATAGACTAATAGAGACTCGGTGGTTGATGTGGTCAACAGACGAGTGTCTAGGTGCTACACCACAGCGGCTGCCCATTTATAATGTGTGTTTTTTCCTCTCCTTTCTTCATTCACTTGTCTATGTTTTTCAGACCGTTGTACACTAAATATAGACCAAACACGCAGTCTACT